GAGGGGGAATCCGCTTTGCATGATCAAGGTCACGCGGCGATGCTTACGTGCCTTAGACATGTGGAAGAAACGTTGGTTCCTGGTTCAAGGCCCGAAGTTAGGGGCTCCTTGTCGTCGCGTAATGCTAACGACGGATGCCTCTCTCACGGGCTGGGGAGCGGTCATGAGTGGCCGCTCTGCCCAGGGTCTGTGGGAAGGCCATCATCTCTTGTGGCACATGAACTGCCGGGAAATGCTGGCCGTGTTTCGAGCTCGAGACGCTGCGTCTCTTTGCCATACTCCCTGCATCCCTGCAGGAGCTACTTCATCGAAGCTGGGTGGCGCCCGGCCGGATGCGCTTTTATGCTTTCTGGTGCTTACGTCACCCTGCTCGTGACGTTTCGCTGCTCCATTGGACGGATTTGACACGTGCTTCAGAACGCGGTCACGCAAGGGCATTCCCAAAGCGAATCTCAACGCAGCGTCTCGTTCCCTCGGGGAACCATGGTTACATACGTAACCTAGAGACGTTTTAAAGATAAATCTTTAGTGTCATGTATGGTTCTATGACGAACCTTTAACATCCATAGAAACTTTCAAGATTCTTTATAGTAGAAAAAGATTATTTAGATTATTAAAAAGTTCTTCACACACACATACTGTCATGATAAGGGGGGTTTGTCTTCTGTTCTCTCCGGACTCCATTCCCCATAAACCCCTGCCTAGGATCTCATTATTGCACCTCATTATTGTTGTCACGCCTCCCATGTTACTCATACACACACAAAAAAATGGTTCTTTTAAAACTTGTTCGCTGAAAGGTTCTTTGAGGTGCCAAAAATGGTTTTTCTGGCATCGGTATGAAAATCCCCTTTTGTAACCTTTATGAGTATAATTTTATTAAATGTTTCAGATTTTGTTTACCAGTTCAGTGAATGTGTTGTGTAAACTGAGAATGTCCTCTCTTATCCTTTCTCCAACATTTCTCCATCTCCTCTCTAGCCGTCTGAACTTGCTCTGCATCAGGCAATCCAGATACACACGTGAAACGCAGTCATAGGATACATTCACAAAGATCTGTCAGAAAGAAAGTGGGGCAGAGAAGCGGAGACTAAGTGAGAAAGTTTATGAAAAGCTACAATTCAACTGGGTATTTGAGCACAGAACCAACCTCCTGAATCTCTTTTCCCACATCAGTCTGAGGCAGAGATGCACATTGCTTTTGGATTGCCTCTGTCAGCCCTTGAATTTGCTCACCACCTTTTTTAAAATAATGTCTTAAAAAGGCCTAGAAATGTACATTTACAAAGAAACCACAGTTAATTTCAGGTTTTTAGATCTATGGCAAAAATAAATGGACACAACTGCAAAACCCTGCCCTCTAGAGTGCGTAAACACAATGTGTCTTTTTTTTTTTACATCATAGTGGCTTTATTATATATCATGAACAATAAACAACAATTCTTCCATAATTATCCCTCTAATCACTCAATGGCTGTTGATTCTGGAAAATGTGTAGTTTTGGTTCTCTTGGATCTAAGTGCAGCCTTCTATACCATTGATCACTCTATTTTGTCTTGAGCAGTATGTCGGCATTAGGCAAACAGTTTTAAACTGGTTTGTGTCCTATCTCAAGGGGAGAACGTTTTCTGTAGAAATTGAAAACTTCACTTCCTCCTCTGCTGCATGTACGTGCGGTGTGCCACAGGGATCCATTTTAGGCCCTGTTTTGTTTTCCCTCTATCTTCTTCCATTAGCCAATATTATTCGTAAGCATCAGATTTCATATCATTGTTATGCAGATGACATACAGCTTTATCTACCTGTTAAGTCTGATGAGAATACATCTCTCCAGTCATTACTTGATTGTTTGAGTGAAGTTAAAAGTTGGATGGCGGATAACTTCCTTCAATTAAATGACTCTAAGACTGAAGTTAGTTTTTGGACATCTGGGTTCTGACAATATCTTCTCAAAAACCTTGGTTCCTATACCTAATACTTGCAGTAGTTTCTGCTTTGCTCTCTCAAACCCTCTTGTCAACAGCAGAGGATCGTCCACTCTCAGTTTTGATTCGGAGCTGAAACAGAAATGAGCACATATACTGTTCAAAAGTTTGAGGTTGATTAAGATTTTTAATGTTTATGAAAGAATTCTCTAATGCTCACCAAGGCTGCTTATTTGACCAAAAATTAAACCATTATATTGTGAAAAAAATTAAATTTTAAGAGATTTAAAAATGATTAGAAAAAATTATAGAGGAAAGGACGTGACATGTGGCCAAGCATGGTGTCCCAAACTTGGAATTTGTGCTCTGCGTTTCACCCATCCAAGTGGACACACACAGCAAACAAGTGAACAAACACACACCCAGAGCAGTGTTGTACATTCACTCCCTCAGCTACAATCCCTGCCGGTACCAAGACTCAAACCCACAACCTTTGGGTTACAAGTCTGACTCTCTAACCATTAGGCCACAACTGAGTTTTCTATTAAAATTAAAATTAAAATGTTACTTATATATAGGCCTATAGGTCTATCCTAGCTAGATTCCTTCAGAAATCATTCTAATATGCTGATTTGGTACTCAAGAAATATTTCTTATTGTTATCATTGTTAACAAATGTTGTGCTGCTTAATATTTTTTAGTGATTCTGTGATTCTTTGATAATCAAAGTTAGAAAAAAACAGCATTTATTTGAAATTGAATTCATGTCTTTAGTGTCATTTTTGGTCAGTTTAGTGCAGGGGTGGGCAAACTTTGCTCTTCCAGGCCACTTTCCTTCAGAGTTTAGCTCCAACTCTAATCAAACACACCTGAACCAGCTAATCATTGTCTTCAAGACTACTAGAAAGCAGTTGAGGCAGGTGAGTTTTATCAGGGTTGGATCAAATCTCTGCAGGAAAGTGGCCTGGAAGGGCCAAGTTTGCCCATCACTGGTTTAATGCATCCTTGCTCATCATCATCATCTTCCAAAAACAAAAAAACAATCATCCCAAACTTTTGAACGGTAATGTTCATTTCAAAATTAACTTGTTTGTGTGTTGTATGCATACGAATATTACATTTTCAACAAACGTGCAGTACATACCTGAAGAAAACATCTTTTCCCCACAGTAGAAGGCAGAAGATCTCTTTTACAGACAGATCTCTGTTTAGCAGCAGGTCCAGGTTGGTAAAGATGTGACGGCTGTAACTGTCCATCAGATGATCTAGCAGCCCAGCATCTTTCAGTGCAGGTGTTAATCGAAGCACCTCATCATATATCATGCCCTGTGTTCTCTTTAGAAAGTCCTGTATCTGCTCTAACTGAGATCCTCGTGGTCTCTCTGCTGGCAGCGTGGGAAAGTGATTCTCCACAAACTGATCTACTTCCTGAAGGTACTCACAAAGCCAGTATTGAGAGTAGTTGTTATTCAGTTTGCACAAGGTGTTCAACTCCTCAACTGCAGGGTCAAAGTCCTCAGGGGTTGATTGGTCACTCAGAATCTTTCTGAGAGTATGAAGCACTCTCTTGTTATGTGCTTCAACATCTAGAGCAATGAGATCAGGAACTCCAGACTGCTGTGAACTGTATTCAGATGCCTGTTCCCCTGATAAAAGGTTCACTTACAAATAAGAGTGTGCAAGATAAAGAAAAGGGGGGTAGAAAATGTACATGCCAAGTTCATAGAAATTTAATTTTTGCATTCATTTTGGTTTCATGTTTTGAGAACATGTGAGTGGAAGTGTAAATCCAATGTCATATGGTGTAACAATCAAATAAAAAGTAACACATCTTCCTTACACTTTCACAGATGTGAATGCACACATCTTGAACATTATTTTAAAAGTCATGAATTATTCACTCATGAATATAATGTTTTGAGAAATTTTACAAACTGAACCGTAATGTTAACCCAAAATAAACAGACAAAAAATGAGTATCACATGACTCTACAGTTAACCACTAAACACAGATGTGATTCATCAAACCATGACACCAAACAAACTGCTGCAAAACTTTAAACAATATGCTTGCATTGTATACCAATGGAAAGATGCTGGCTTTTTCTACAAATGCAAAGATGATTACTTTCATAAATGTCTATTATAGAAAAATAACAAAAGAGTGTCTTACCATCTGTCTGCTCTATGTTTTTCATTAAAGGTTTGTCTTCATTCCCATTCTTTGTTTTCCGCCTGAACATGCTTGGCATTTTCTTTTCCTTAAACTTCATACTTGACTGACACAAATAAAAAGCTTGCTTGTCCCACAGAATATATCCGAGTAAATGGTGAGTGCAGTGCAATGTTCAAAGCAGGTACATTTATGGGAGTTATCCCTCATGAATGAATATTCCAGCCAATGTGGTTGCAGCTTATGTTGATAGCTCGGTACTTTCCTCATACCTCACTGGTTCCATGGCCTTGGAGCTAAAAGGCTGTCTGAAAGCTGTGACACCATGTAAGTGAAAATGAAAGTGAAACCTAGCCCTCTTGGTGTGCCATACAAATATTCACTGTTCTGTGTTACAAACTAATATCATCATATGGTACAAAAGACCATGTACAGTAGCAAGAAGTTACATCGTATAACAGGGAAATGGAAAATGTAAGTGATAAAACAGCCCTTAGAAGTGCCAGTGGCAGTGGCTTGTGCTTATATTGAACCGACACACAAACATGGTAGATCAAGTGGCAGTACTGTGGTAAGACAGAATCCATCTATTTCCCATCACTATAAAAGTTATGGCATGCTGACAAACCAGTAGATTACCTTGCAGTGCTTTAATGCTGCTTAAACCCTAAACTGTATCATATTTTCATACATAAGTATTAAAGGCTTTTAAATGATATCAAAATTTTACATAAAATCCTGTTGTACACCGTCTACTACATGTCTTCTGCATAAAAGGGATAACTTTTATGTTGTCAGCAATATTTAAGATGGACACTTACTGAACTAAAGCAGCTTAGGTTCAATTTATTAAAAAAAGATATATGGATATTATCCATATATATATAAATATATATAATATTTTTTTTTTTTTTTTTACAAAAATCATGTTAAAATGCATATCAAATATTACACATCAGGCTTTTGAGAAATGTTTATTTCCCAACAATCACTGTATTACATTGCATTATATAGACATATTGGAAGATACAGAGTGACAACTGATATTTATACAGTATGCATTTTATGTTAGTGGGCATATAACGTTTCAAAAAACTGTTCCATTTTTTAAAAAATTGACTATTATTTCAAATGTCAGGCTTTACAGGGGTAATTGTTTCCAATTCTACCCGTATTTTCACTTTGATCAGGTCACCAAATATTTGGTGTAGACAGGTGTGAAAAACAAAGATTTAGGACATAGTTAAATAAACATCAGATTTGAATGCTTAAAGACATAGATAGCACAATGTTTGGCGAACATTCTCCATAACTTACTTTTACTAACTGACCTCAAGCAACTAACTAACCTTACAACAAAATAGTCCCTTCAGAGGATGACGGGTGAGATGTGTAGGATCTGGATTTGGGCAGGGTTCCTGAGTCACATCCAGCACTTCCCTCACCTGTCACTCTGATAATACCCCCTTCCAGCGCAGCAGACCAGGTATATACTGCTCACTGCAAAACATTGAGAAGATGAACAAAAATGAAAACAAAATCACTCATTCTATGCTTGCATACTCACACAAAATTAAAACAGCTACTTTTAAACAACTGTAAATACATGTTTGCATTTGTAAGTAAAGCATTAATTGTGATCAGCGTTTACCTTTCCTGAGGGAAATCTCTGAACAAATCACAACAGGTAATCTTCAGTGTGTCACGCCCATGGACTGTTTTGTGTTTGTTTTCCTCCCCCACATGCTCTATGACCTATAGTTTCTCCCTTGTGTTTCATTGTGCCCATATTTGGTTCTTCCTGTTCCTGCTACTAGTGTGTTCATTGATTTCAGATGTTTCTCGTTGATTCCCTCGTTAGTCATGTGTTTAAAAGAGTGTTCAGTTGCTTGGTTCCTTTGTCCGGTGTCTAAAGTCTACTCCATGTGCGTTCCCTATGTTTCCTGCTTTTTGGATTTATAAAGACTGTTATCATTGTGACTCTCCTATACGTGTTCCTCGCTCCAACACAGTAGCAGTACGTGACACAGTGCTTCTACATCCCTGCAAAGCAAAACTTCACTGAGTCTCTGAAGGAGATGGTTCCTTTGGTCATCACTGCCATTCTGTAAGAGAGATACATTGGATACATTGTCTATGAAAATACTGCATTGCATTGATGCGGAGTGCCATTCTACAGGCAAAAATCACTTTACTAAAGCCATGAGCTTTTTATTTATGTAATGAATGTAAAAACACACTGTTCTCTTATGTCAAAAGTCAAGGATTAAAATGACTTGCCATAACCACCATAGTCATTGAGAGGGACAAGAGATGTAACAGTAGCTGTGGACCAATATGAGCCTTAAACTATTAGATACCACACAACCCATTCTGTATAATGATGAATAATGTTTGATCCTTACTTCCAAGGGTCAACTGCATCAGGAAATTAAAGAGTCCTTAAAGAGCTATTTGAGAAATAAAAAAAAACATTTTTTCACCAGATCAGAGAATGTCTTGTGAAAATGCTTTACAGAGGGAAACTATATGAATATGAAGTATAAATTAATAAACAAAGTTCCAACACTAGGGATTGCTCTCAGGAGCTCAGACACCTCAGACAACATTGGGAAAATGCCAATGAAATTGCTGTAGCTGGCCATTCCCCTGAAATACGGGTATAAATAGGCAGTTTTTCGGAGCTGAATGCAGCATCTTAGTAACTCGTCGTAAAGTACGTGGAGTGGAAACTACGTTGTAAAGGTTCACCTCTCCCTGGGTGCTTCTACAGAGATCTTTAAGAGCAAATTTCCTCCTAAAAGAGTGAATTCTGTAAAATAGCTTAATGGGTGGCACTGTGTGTGTTTACATCATGCCTTACTGCCCGTGCCCTTCTGGATACAGTTTCCAGCTCTCTCTCCCAAAGCCTGGCACAATTGCTGCGTTCAGTGTTTGGGCCACGCTCACGCTGAAGCAGCTCTCATGGATGGTTCATATCCTGCTTGTGAGGACATGGCAATGAACACGGGACACCCCGACTGCTTCTCGGTCCGGTCCTTCTACTTTTGGGTATGAGGCAGCAGCGATGTCCTTCGGTGAGGAGCAAGGTGAGGTGAGAAAAGTTACGCCAGGTGAATCCCCACGGACCTCTCGTTCTTCTCACACCTGTCCTCCGGTTGAGCTTCCAGATAAGTTTGAGAGCTCATCTCAGGGTGAGTTCAAATTCTCATTCAGGGCTCACAATGAGGATGAGTTATAAATCGCAGCATCAGAGAGCAGGCCTGAACCATCAGAGGCTGATGACTCCGCTGAACCAGCTCCATCAGGGGCTGAGTTTCAGTCTGAGGCTGACGCCATGCTTGCCAAGAGCATTAGGCTTAAGTGGACTCCTCTACCCTATCCCCAGAGTACACGGCTGGACGATTGGTTTCTGGGTGCTGAACGTGACACTAAGCCACGCACTGCCCAGTTCCTTTCTTCCCAGAAGTGCAAGAGGAACTGACAAAATCGTGGAAGGCCCCCTTTT